CAGAAAGGAGCCTGCAGTGGTTGCCACTTACTCTTTCCAGTCCTGCACTGGTCTTGGTCATTTGGGGGAAATGTGGTCGCCTCGGTCTGGGTTGGATGTTGGAGTGCAGTCCTGTGAGCCCTACTTGAGTTGATAGGGTGGAGTGGTGGCCCTTGACAAAACTCTGATGATGTGGGGCCTTAAAATGTAAACAACTTCAGGCTGAGCTTGGAGGCCAGGGCCAAGGTATTGGCTAAGTGTCACAGTGACTCTCTAGAAAATGCCCAGACAGGGCCTTGGGCTCTGGCACTGCCAAGGCTTGACTTTTCTTTCATATATAAGCAGAAAAAACAAATAAGTTTTGAGTATTGAGGCTTTTAAAGATGGACTACTTCCTGGTTAGGATGTAGCTCAGCAGTAGTGTTTGCCCAGCAAGCACAAAGCCTTGGGTTTGATCTCCAGCTCTGCATAAATCTGGTGGCAAATATCTGTGATCATATCACTCAGGAGGTAAAGGCAGAAGGATCAGAAATTAATAGTTATCTCTGGCTACATAGCAAGTTTGAGGCCAGCCTGGGCTATATGAGGCCTTGTCTGAAAAACCAACCAGCCAAACAAACTAAGGTGGGATGCTTAGCTATTATAAAGAGCCAGAAACATCTTCATAGTCTTCACTTTAAAGCTAAGTAAAGAAACTCATTTGGTTTAAGTGAATTTAAATAGATAGGGGAGGTATTTGTCCTTTTGAAGAATGTGATGCCAAGAGAAACTATTTCTTAGTTCCGCCATTAGCTCATACTATCTGCCTTGGTGTGTTATCTTTCTGTTACCATAAGAAACATCTGAGACACTTACAAAGAGAATAGGTTCATTAGGTGTGGTGGAAATGGGAGGCTGAGGTAGAAGGATTGGAGTTTTGAGGCCAGCCTGGGATATATGATTAATTATGGCTAACAGTCTTGGAGGTTTTTGTCCATAGCCAATTGGCCCATTGCTTTTGAGCCTGTGGGGCACAGCACGTCATGGTGGTAAGTACATGGAGAAGAACCCATTATCACTTTCAAAGGCTTGCCTCCAAAGAGTGTAAACATCCCACATGATCTATTTCTGAAAGTTTTCATCACCTTTCAGTAGTGCCAAGGTAGGGGCTAAACCTTTAAAATAAGGACCTTTCTAGTACATTCGATCTCTCAAGAAAAGTATCTGAGAAAAGTAATGAGAGTGGGTTTCATAGTATGGAATGACATTTAGCTTGCTCATTTAACCATCAGTGGAAGTTTGGTTTGCTTTTGGCAACTGTGAATCATACTATTGAAAACATAAATATATAGGCATTGATTCGAGACTCTGCTTTCAATTTTTTGGGGAAAATAATCTCAGAAGTGGAATTTCTGGATTCTGTGGTAATCCTATTTCAATTGTTTAGAAACTAACCCCCCCAAATACAAGACTACTACTTTAATAAACTTCCCCCCCCCCTTAACCCTAATCAGAGAGTTTACCTTTAATCTTATTGGCTGCATTGGATCACATGCTCATTTCTAGCTGCAAGGGAGTCTGAGAAAAGAAACATTTTTAATTAAGCATAGAACCTTTTTTCTTTCTTCTTTCTCCTTCTCTTCTTCCTCTTCCTCCTTGTGTTCCTCCTCCTCCTCTTCTTCTGATCTCATGTATTCCAGCGTGGGAATCAAACTTGCTATCTAGCATAGGATGTCCTTGAATTTATGATCCTCCCCCCCACACCACCAGTGCTGGCATTTGTTTTTTATATAATGCTGGGGTTAAACCCAGGATTCTGTACACAGTAAGCAAGCACTGTGCCAACCTAGCTACATCCACAAGCTTGACTTAGAACTTCAGAGAACAAAAACTGTACCCTATTTTAAGGAAGAAGAGGAGAATAAGTCTTAGGTGCCAATTAGCAGCCTAAGGGAAAATAGAACAGAAGGAAGGGCTACAGGTTGAGGATCATTGTAGGAGAATTTATATTTTAGAAAAATCTCTGGCAAATGAGAATTGATGAGCAAAGTCAGGAGAAGCAGTGAAGAGACCCCACACCATAGCAATCCAGAGAGGAACACTGGGGACCCAGAAGAGGGTGAACTGGAATAAGGTATTTTGGGGAGGGATAGACTCTGGAAATGTTTGGGGGAGCACCCTTTAAGGCCTGTCTGGTTTCTGACTGCAAGACGATAAGAACAGTGTTGATTGAGTCCTAGTTTGCGTCTCAGGTCCTTCTTGGTTTTAGAAGGAGCAGGTTTCAGGGATAAGTGAGAGAGAGCTCACTTTTGTGCTGTTGAGTCTAGGGAGCCTGCAGGCTGGATAGGTCGCCAAGATGTTGAAGGACTGTCTCAATCTGGGTCTTTCAGGATTGGTTTGTGACTTCCTTGGGGACTGGAAGGCAAAACTGGAGGCTTTTTGGATCACCCGTTTCTGTGCTTGTTTTAGTTACTTCTCTACAGTGGTAAAGAGACACCATGGCTGTCGGGGTCCGATGCCCCAACATAAACTACTTTTCCCTCTCTGGACCCGTGTGGAGGCGTGGGAAAAATCGAGACAAAGTTCACACAGCAATATCGGAAGGGAGTCTCAGGCTTCATCCATTCCTGAGGATCACCCGCGTTTATTATTCAAACACCTTTTATTCCCCAAAGTAAACCAAGATGGAGCTCATTAATATTCTCTTGGGGGTAGCAGGACTGCTCAGGTCACTAGCTTGGAATTCACACGTCTTCCCAGGCGATCTACATAATAACAAAAGAGAAGGAGCAGTGCATCCAGAGCCTTTGTTAGGTAGGACAGCCTGTCTAGAGGGATGGCTTTGGATACCAACGATGGCCCAAGAACTTGGCTGTCACACCATGTAGAAAATATGAGCCTACACATGACTAAGGCAATGTATAAAAGAAAGCATTTGATTTGGGGGCTCATAGTTCCAGAGGGTAGTAGAGTCCATGACCATCGTGAGGAGAGCATGGCAGCAGGCAGGCAGGCAGGCACTGAAGCAGTAGCTGAGAGCTTGCATCTGATTCACAAGCAAGAGGCAGAGAGACAGACAGAGAGAGAGAGAGAGAGAGAGAGAGAACTGGAATGGCCTTTGAAACATCAAAACCCATTTCCAGTGACTCAGCTCCTTCAACAGAGCCACACCTCCAGATCCTTCCCAAACAATGACACCAACTGGGGACCAAATATTCAAACATATGAGCAATGGGGCCATTCTCATCCAAACCATCGCAGTGCTAGCCCAGGAAACAGAGGGGAGGAGTGGGAGGACGCTTGTGCAGACAGAATGTGTGGAGAAAACCCTCTAGCCTGGATGCCTCTGCTTCAGGTTGGACACTGTCGGAAATATTCTCAACATCAACCTCCCAGGAATACCAAAGCCACATCTTCTGAACTGAGAGACTCTTGAGTGCTAGAATGGTCACCCTAGGTGTCTCTGTCTATGGCCAACAGAACGGTCCTTGAGACCATCTACACCTTGCTCAAGCTGTTTGCTTTTCCCGGGTGTCAGAGCCCCTTGAACTGAGAACCAGGGCTCATTATTTTCTTTCCTCTTGAACTGTGTTCTGGAGCAAGGCTGAGAAAAGCCTCCCCAGTATAAAGTGTTTCTTTACCACCTCTCTTGGCTTGGCTGAGTTGGGAAGCTCATGGTCCAGCTAGCCTGGTGCACACAGCAGAAAAACAAAGACATCTTGTCTTAAGCAAGGTGGAAATCAAAAGGACTGATGCCCAAGGCTACCCTCTGACCTCCACATGAGGGCTGTGGCATACAGGTAGGAACATGCACATGCATTTTTTTGAAATACCAAATTTAGGGGCTGGAGAGATAGCTCAGAGGTTAAGAGCACTGGCTGTTCTTAACAGAACAGAGGTCCTGAGTTCAATTCCCATTAACCACATGGTAGCTCACAACCATCTGTAATGAGATCTGATACCCTTTTCTGGCCTGCAGATAGAACACTGTATAAATAATAAATAAATAAAATTTAAAAAATAAAAGAAAGAAATACCAAATTTATATTCAGAAGCATAGAGAAGCTATGCCTGACCTCAGAACATAAATTCTGAGACGTAAAGTAATTCTGACTCTTCCCTTAATATAATAGGTGGGTGTCCTCAGATAAGTTACTATAAAATCTCTTTGTGTCTAAGTCTTCTTATCTGTAAAAATGAGGATAACAGCATCCCCTTCACTGAATTTTGAAGATTAAATGAGATAAATTGTGAAGAACTTAAAATAGTAGCAGACACAAGGAGAGATTCACATGGATTCATGCATATTTCCTAAGCCCTCTCTGAGCGCTGCTGTCATTTGGTGCTAAGACTGGCAGCGGCACAAGGTTAGTGTCTCTTCATCCCTCAAGTCTCAGTTTTTCCATCTGTAAAATGGAAATAATATCTACCTAGCGGGGCCCTTGGGAAGATCTATAGAGTCCAGCATGGAAAGCTCTCTGCCTAGATTTGAGTCCTTAGAAGGCCCTCTACACTGCTGCTACTTCCTGTCTGTGATTCAAGCACAGGTGTAGTGATGTTGGCAAATTCCGGGCAGGATTATACACACTTCTGGCTTCCTTTTGTAGCAGGCTGGAGCTAGATCTTTTAAGAGCTTGGTCCAACGGGGTGGGAATGGATAGGTGGCAGAGATGGAGCGTGGGGGCCAGCCAGGCTTACTCTTCCCTTTGGAACCTGGTCTGGCCAACAGCTGGCATAGGGCTGGGAGCATGGTTGGGGGTTTGGGGGCAGGGTTGGTCCGGTGTCTGTGGGTGTAAGAAAAAGAGGAAAACCTTCTCAGTGGAAATTGCCCTGCGGTTGGCTCAGGCGCCCACAACACTGTATTTATAGAGAGCTCCCAGCAATTCTAAAATTCTTCACTGTCGAGTTAACCCTTTCCGAGCTGCGGTGCCAGCCGGGTGCGGAGGGGAGAAATACAGGACTGAGTTGGGACAGCTGGATTGCAACAGAGCTTGGAGCCAAGCAGCTTGGAGGATGGGAGTGGTCAATGGTCAGTCACCTGTCCTCTCTCACCGAAAAAGAAACTTTGGCTCTTGGAAGTGTGAAGATCCGCGTGGGGGATGGGCAGTGAGTAGCCCTACAACCCCTCCTTGGAGTACCACGTCTTCCCCGGTCGGGGTCGAGCTGGGGTCCGGGCTGGAGGCGGGCCCAGGCCCGGGGCCCTGCCCAGCAGGCGGGCTCAGGCCTCAATGTCGTAGGATCTCCTCCTCGGGGCCAATTCTGCCTCTGGGGCGCACCCGGGTGGCCTTTCCGGGCCCGCAGCTTCCTCCTGCAGTCCAGCCCCTCGCGCTCCCGCCCCCCTCCCTCGGCCCTGGTCTGGCCGGGCCCCGCGACGACGGCGACACCGAGGGTAGCGACGATTGGGCTGCGTCCCGCCGTGTCCCCGAGTCCCGGGAGTCGGCGCTGCGCGGTGAGTGCTTGCGTGGCGCGGGGCGGCGCGGGCTGGGGTTGCCTTTGTGTGCGACCGCGCCTGCACCGCGCGCGCTCTGGGTGCCCGGTGCTTGGAGCTGAAAGCCCGCGGCCCTTTCCCATAAGGCACCAGTACCCTGATCCGAGGACACCGCTAGGGCTCTAGGGCCCCGAGGAGCTAAGAGCACCCCTGCCTGGCCGCTCCCTCCTTTGGGCTGAGACCCGCTGGGACTTGTGGGATCTGAAGACTCCCGGAGTCTGGGACTTGTGGGGCCCAGGACTGGGTGGGTGACTGTTCAGGCCCTGGGTGTGGAGTGGGCATGAAGGCAGGTAGGTCACTGGGTTGATGGTTCTGGAAGCTTAAGGAAGCTGTTAGCCAAGACTAGGAGAGAAGCATTCCCCCGACTTGGAGGAGGAAAACACCATGAATGCCAGCTCTGAGAAGGGAAGCTGAGCGGGAGGGGAGCACGAGGTTGGGTGGCCCCCTGAGCTCGGTTCTGAAGGGTGAAGGTGTCGATGACTGGCGGACTTCTACATGCTGCAGAAAAGCACTCGGGAACAGGTTCAGGGAAGGCTCCCCCCAGAATTAAAGATTGAATAGGGATGGCGCAGTTTGTGATGTTTTAGGTAAATGGAGAAGGATGGAGAGGAGATCCGGAGGAAGGTGGAAGAAGCTGAAGGTCCAGGGTGGGACAAAAAGGACAGAGGATTGAATCCAGTTCCCCGGGGCCCTTCCTCACTAGGGCCGAGTCAACCAGTTCCAGATTTGGGAACTTAAGGCAATCAACTGGCAGAAAAGGTTCTTGTGGTTTTTTTTTTCCCCCTCAAGCCAAACCTGCCTTAATGAGAAATGCATGATGGATGACTCAGACCTGAGAGCTTATCATCAAAGGGAACTATTAAGCAAATACTAAATCAGAAGTTTGTATATGTTCATCTGGGGTTTTTGTGTATGTGTTGGGGCGGCACTGACTTAATTGTGAAAAACTGTTAACTTTCAGACTGCGGATGATCTGTAAATGAGTATTGATTAAATTAAAATCCAAGTCCTTTTTAATGCTTTAATTTTTTTATTTTATTTTATTTTTATTTTTAGATAGGGTCTCACTGTGTAGACCTGCTGACTTGACTCACAGAAGCCCACCTGCTTCCACCTCCCAAATGCTGGGATAAAGGCATCCATGACCATGCCAGGCTCAAGTCCTTTTCCTTTAAGTGTGTGCAGTAGCTTTTCAGTTTGAGAAACTAATGGAGCCGTTTGAACTGTTTGAGAGTTATTTATTTAGCTGAGCCTCCTTTCTCATCCCCTCTGACTGCCCAGAAGTCCCCAGGGCTGCTGCTGAGCAACAGCATTCCCTGTAGTTTGGGGACTTGCAAATAGGGAATTTGAATTTGTGTACTTGAATTGAAACCGGGGCGGATTGAATGACAGGCAAGTGTGGAGGGCTGGGGAGCTAAGCGGTATGGACTGGCGGCCTATATTTCCAACTTGCTTGGGAATGAGACTATTTTGGATGTGTGTATTTTCCTGGTAGCTGGAGTTCTGAAGCACTAGCTCTTGGCTAATTGTGGCCCATGGATGTCCTCTCTCCTGGTATTACAAATACATCACAATTAGCTGTCATAGGGTGTCCTGATGTCCCTGACATTTCCGTCATGTGGCTGGGGATGTGGCTCAGTGTATAGAATGCTTGCCTAGCATGCATGAAGCTTGTGTTAGATCCCCAGCAACCAGCAATGCATAAACTGGTTGTTGTGGCTCATGGCTGAACTCTCAGTGCTTGGGGGCAGAAGCAGGAGGCTCAGAAGTCATCCTAGGCTACACTGTTCAAAGCGCTCCTGGGATACATGAGACTTGTGTCCAAAAGAAAGATTTTTCATTACGTCATCGCTTTAGGTTAGTCCTGTAAGCATCAGTTTTGCCACCAAGTGTCATGAGGCAAAGGGACAGAAAAGAGAAGGCGTTTGTCCATGTATGGAGTAGCCCTGGTGATGATTTCATTGGTCCCATGACTGGCCCTGGCATCCATGGTGGCTTCCTCCTGCTGCCAGAGGGTGGACCCTGCGTCTTGTGAAGAAGCAGCCTGGTTTCATGCCTGCTTCAGTGTCAGCGGAGAGCTGGAATTCTTGCCCCAGTTTTCTTTTCCATCCCTGGCCCCCTTAAGCTCTGTCCAGGCACCTGATAGGAACAGGGCACCTGAATGTCCAAGATGCTCAGCTGCCTGGCAGCTGGGTGCCTGGCAGCTAGGCTGGCTGCTTTAATGTTTATCTTCAGAACGTGGTAGAAGCGGTGGCCTTTCAGAACAGCCCTCTGGGGAGCCCGCATCCTCATTCTGCAGAGGCCGCACCTTATGCTTTCTGCACGAGTCACCTCCTCCAAAGCTGACCTCTAGGTGGAAGCCTGGATTCTTTTTGGCGGGATTTGGGTTGGACACCAAGATGAGAAATCCAGTTTGAGATGCAGTGTGACTGTGAGTTGGCCATTCCACACCCTCAGAGAGACTCCTAGAAAGTGTTTTTGTTTTGATTTTTTTTTTTTTTGTATTTTGAGTCAGGGTTTCTCTCTGTAGCTTTGGAGCCTGTCCTGGAGCTAGCTCTTGTAGACCAGGCTGGCCTCGAACTCACAGAGATCCGCCTGCCTCTGCCTCCCGAGTGCTGGGATTAAAGGCGTGCGCTTCCACCATCCGGGTCCTAGAAAGCGTTAAGTGACTAACCTGTAGCCTGATGCTTCTGGGTTGGGCCATGGGCAGAAAACAACCCAAATCCACTGAGATGATGACCACACAGGGACGATTGAGCTGTGAATCTGAGTCATAGGGTTGGAAAAGGAGGAAGAGGGTAGGGAGGATGATGTCACTGCCCAGGAGCTTATCCTCTGTGTGGGTGGGGACTTTTGATTGCCGTCCTCTTCTCCACCCTGGGGCAGGAGTGTCAGGGAAATCTACCAGCGAAAGGGAAAGGGCCTTGGTTGGGGAGAGGGACTCTCATGGCCACACAAAGGGAGAGGGCCACAGATACAGCCCTTGCCGCCACCTGTACGTCCATTCTTGCAGTGTTCAGGGTAGGAGCATTGGATTTTCAGGATTTAGGGGTGGGACTATGCAGAAGGAACATTATGTGATTATCTTAACATCATTAAAGAGAAGAAGAAACCCAAGCCTAGCAAGTCACATACCCACAGACGTACAATGGGCAAATGGTGAGGGCAATCTGTCGTCTGCCTTCAGACCTGGCTCTTTCTGCCACTCCAGAGACTGCTTTAAGTTTGACTCATTTTAGACCCTGATAAATGTGCCCGCGGTCTGCTTGGCGGAGAGAACTCATCTGGTGAGCCAGGGAGAGAACAGGCCTGACCACAGAGACTTGTGGACCCTGATAGAATGTTCTCGTGCTGTCAGAGACCTAATCTTGGTCACACTGGTGCTCTCAACTCCTGGAGAAGAGACCTGCCTATGCACCAGTTCTTCTCCCTTTCAGTTTCTCTGTGGTCTTGGGAAAGATGCCCCTACACCCCTCATAACTTTGACATTAGCTCTCCCTGTGGAAATACTGGAATATTTGCTTATGAAGAGGCTCTGACCTTGGGGTGACAGCAATTTTTTGTTTGTTTTTCAAGACAGGGTTTCTCTGTGAAAAAGCCCTGGCTGTCCTGGAACTCATTTTAGCCTTGAACTTACAGAGATCTGCCTGCCTCTGCCTCCCGAGTACTGAGATTAAAGGCGTGCGCCACCATCACCCAGTTTGGGACTGGAACTCTTGGTGCACGGAGCTACAACTCAGTTTCTGGGAGGAGCACAGGGAAAGGAAAATAGAATGAGCCAGACCGAGAGGTGAAGTCAAACTGTACGTTGGCTCCTTTGGAATCTGGTGATGGTGGGGTCTCGGTGCAAAGGAGAGCACTCAGAAGGACTAACAGTCTTCTGAGTACTAACAGTACCTAGATGGATAGCCCTATAGAGGAGATCTGGGCTGGGAAGAGGTAGAGAAGCTCATGCCTGTGGCTGTAATAGCAGTAATGACAATAATTACCTCTGTGAAGCTGGGCAGAGGATGTGTACCTATGATCCCAGCAATTGGGAAGTAAAGGCAGGAACATCAGGAGTTCGAGGCCAACCTCAGTTATATAACGAATTTGAAGTCAGGCCTGGATATAGGAGACCCTGACTCATAAAGCAATAAGACGGACTGAAGAGATTGCTCAGTGGGAAGTGCTTGTCCCAGAAACCTGAGGACCTATCTGAGTCTGCATTCCCACAAGCCACTAAAGCTGGCCTTGTTTGCAATTCCAGAGTTGCTGTGGTGAGATGGGGGATGGAGACTGAATAATGCCCAGAAGCTAGGCTTGTCTCCAACAAGGTCAAAGGCGAGGACGGATGCCCAAGGTTGTCCTCTGATTTCCACACGTGTGCCGTGACACCAGTGTGTCTGCATCACGTATGCACACATAGTACTCACACACACAACAATAAAATGTACCACTGATTTGATTTAAAACACTTTAACCTGTCTATCCCTGTTGTCTTTATTCCCATAGCTGCTTTGTGGGTTAGGAATTTTATCGATGAGTCTCAATAGGTAGTCACTGTCATTGACATTTCGTTGTGATTCTAGCAGGGCCTCTGTGTCAGGATTTAAACCCAGGGCTACTCCTGAGCCTATGCGTTGCCCTGGGCAGTTAAAGCGGCCTGGGAATTCCAGCTAATAGGTGAGGAATCCAGACCTGAGGGCATTCATGAGCTAGTTCTAACACTCATTAGTCACCCTTGCTGGTGATGGGTGACTGTGGGCCCTAAGGCAGCAGCCTCTCCTCTGGGCTCACATTCTCATATGAACCTGGCCATGGGGCCCAGGCCATGTATATTTCCAAAGGTCTTCCACCTCAGGACTGGCAAAGCCTGTTACACTGCTGAGACCTGTCCCTGGTAGAGGCAGTGGGGCATGCTCAGAGAGAGGGAGTTTTCTGCTAGGCAGAGCCTCTTTCAAGGCAGAAACAGAAAGGCT